ATCTTCTATCCCAATCGTCACCAACCCACAAACCAATCTAAATTATCATGATGAACATCGCTCAGTCCTCGCTTGCTCTGCTGCTTATCGTGGCGGCTGCTTCCAACACTGATGCATCTTACCTTCGCAAACTTGGCGGCACCACCATCGCCACCAACGTCAAAACCTACGCTGCCTACGGTGACTACGCCCCCGCCATGCTGGCCGCCGTCAACAAGCAGCGTGCCACCAAGGGCCTGTCGCCTCTGTGCCTCAACAAGAAGCTGCACTCCGCTGCTCAGCGTCACTCGGATGATATGGCTGCCAAGGACTACATGGCTCACGACGGCTCGGACGGCTCGACCATGTCGGAGCGTATCACGCAGGCCGGTTACGACTGGAGCGCCGTGGCTGAGAACGTGGCTGCTGGACAGGTGGATGTGGACGCCGTGATGGTGGCGTGGATCAACTCTCCGGAGCACCTGGAGAACATCATGGGCGACTACACGATGTTCGCCCCTGGGTACGCGTTCAACAAGGAAGGCACATACCAGCACTACTGGACGCAGGACTTTGGTACGGGTGAAACCGAGCAGTGTGACGGTGCTACCACGAGCGGTTCGACAACCGTGCAGGATGCTACTCAGAACGTGGACGTGGTGCAGGGTGAGGCCGAAACGGAGGCCCCGACGCCTGCGCCGACGACGGTGACGGATGCTCCGGCCACGGAAGCTCCGGTTGCTCCCGCTCCGGAGGCCCCTATTACGGAGACTGAGGCCCCGGTGACGCCCGCCCCGACCACCCCGACACCTGCGACTCCTGTTCAGGCTGATTGCCAGTCCAACTTCTAAGCAAGCGCACGAAGCAGTGTGTTTGTCATCCAGAAACTTCCTCTTGTTGGGCACCCCAGCAACACCACATAGAGCTATATGTAACTGCGTAGATTGAGTGAGATCTCAAGGTGCAGATTAGACCCCTATACAATAAATGAACAATTAGATCACACGAATCGAAAGTGCAAATAACAACCCTCCGCTGGTAGATTTGTTGCAGTTGTTGCTTCCTCAGTGTTCCTATTCGATATTGTATTTGACCCCCCCCCCCCCCCCCTCGCGCGCTTTTACGAAGTACTGATATCCTTTCCTAAATACTACTAACTAAAGTTACTTGTACTTTCTCAGTGTATCCACTACGACCGAACTAACATGTAAAAGGACCATTAGCAGTGATTTAAAGGGGGCATGTCAATGCTGTGCCACGTGGTTGCATTGTGACGACTCATGTTGTGGCTTCCACACTGTCCCACGACGCTAGATCCACAACGACATCTCCGAAAAACTTCTCGTTATCCGAAACGATAAACGCGAGCTCTTGAGGACATCAGAGCTTAGGTAGCAGCTCGCGTACTGTCGGGATACCGTGCGGTAAACAGCGATGGCGGACTCAGGATATCGCTTCAATATGCACCGGACATCTCACTATTCAATTTACTGTCTTCCTCCCATATCCAATAAGCGCAACTAAATCACGACCACCATCACCGCCACGCAAGCTGCTGTAGCTCTCTTCCTTGTCTTCACAGCCACTCGCACTTGATCTGAAGCTGCCAACCCGAGTCAGATGGATACCAAAATGAACGCAGTCAGTGGGCTGCTTATCCGCTATGCTGGCTACCGTTAACAAGTAGCGCGCTGCGGTACTCCACCTTGACGTCCAACCCTTGAACAACTTCATGCCGGATTGGACGGAATCCACCCATGCTGCAACGTGTGAGGGACGTCGGCTTCAAATGGAGCCCCTATGGAGGCTGGCATGGCCGACGTGAACGCCGTTGATGTACTCACCGGACCACCTCGCGAACATCCTTAGTGCCTACTGCACCATGCTCGGTTCAGTATACGGGGGCTACGCCGACGCACTGTACGTTGGTGCTGACAGCACAGAGAGAGATTTGGCCTTCTATTTGTGATTTTATTTACCCTATAGAAGCCTGTTTTGACATCCATTTAGACGGTCCATTATGGACTTCGTCTTTCGTTTTGAGTTGTCACTTGCAGGGAGGTTGGTGCCTGTTGTATTGAGAAGCTCGGCTGTCCGTTCCAAATAACTCCGCATTGGGCTAGTTAATGAAGCGGGGTCAGAGCTGAAATTGTACTGGATCGCCGTCTGCGACTTTGCTAAGTGCTTGAGTGGGTCTAGTGCCGCCAGCTTGGGTTTTCCCCATTGGATCGCGAAGAAGTTTTCAAGAGCTTGAGTGTAGTGAGTTTCGTACGTTGTCGACTTGTTTTCGATTTGATGTTGTTGTCTTGATTTTGGCTTCATCGCTTCTGTGCTCTCTAGTCGTAGCAAGACTTTAGCAGGTTCAGCGTTTGCAGAGATAGCAGT